TTATCTGCAGTTAGTTACACGAATTCAGATATGGAGCTTTAATAAGTTGTACCTACGCTCAATTTACTTGTAATCTTGAGTTTTAAGTAATATGCATTAATAAACAGTATTTTACGCATAAAAAATGGTTTTTAAGAGTTTTTGTCAAATAATATAGAATATATTTTTTATATATAATTTAATTTAAGTTTAATAATAAAATAATTTATTTTTGGTTTAATATTATAAATTTTATAAAGATAAAAATTAAGTATTCTGTTAGAAATTAATGATTATACTAATTATATTTTATATTTAAAATGAGATGTTTATCATGTATTTGATTGTGTTTATCTGCAGTTAGTTACACGAATTTAGATATGAGATGAAATCGGATAGAGATGAACGGGTTTAAAAGTTTTTAAGAGTTTTAAGAGTTTTTAAGAATTTTAGCCAAATGCTTTATAAGATAGTATATATATATATATATATATATATATATATATATATATATATGATTGAGATATTATTAGCCATCTCTCAACTGTTTTTGTGTTTGGTCCTCTTCTAAATCACTTTTAAGTGATAATAAGGATTATAAAAACACAAGCATGTGATAATTAATCCTTTTTTATTCAACTACTTGATTAATCCACATTTATTATTTATTGCTTCCAAAATAAACATATGGTATTATAATGAAACTGTGACGTATTTCTAGTTTCAAATTTGTTGAATTTAAAACGTAATCAAAAGCAATCGAAAACCAAGAAGGCAATAAGAGCATTTTGAATTTCGAAAGTTATCTGATGATAACAAAGTCAGCTAACAAACCCACTGAGTAGCAACTTCAAAAATCTGTTATCTCAAATGAAAATCGACAACCAGACCTCTTGGGGGAAACAGACGTGGGACGGATAAATCAGAATCGAAACTGGTCAGACAACTGTCGATGCCAACTTACTAATATCACCGGTGCATGACCACATGCTCGGATATATTACTTTTAGTTGGAATTTTAAAAATTGTAGAGTAATATAAATGGCTTTTGGAAGCATATATGAAAGCATTATTAGTTGGATTGTTGAAGTCTTGTATCTTTTGGACATTTCTCTCTCTCTCTCTCTCTCTCTCTCTCTCTCTCTCTATATATATATATATATTAGTATTAGTATTCAATTATAACACGTCTCAAGGGTGAATGATTGGAACACAATTCCCCCAAGAATATATGGACTTTCTTCTTCGTTGCCTATATTTGACGACCCTCATTCCTTTGACCCCAAAACGATTTCACAAATAGTGCTAAGAGTATTAAGTTGTATACAAAAATATATATATATAAAGACAATCAAACGAGAACAAAGTAAAAAAAAAAAAAACACAAAATGGTTAAATCATATGTGATTATGGAACACGATCAATTTAAGGGGGTGAGCAGGCAACTTGGTATGTGACTAAAATCGCGTATGTTATTATATACGTAATTCTAGTGTTGATTGATTGGGAGCCCGAGAACCTTCTACAATATGATACTTGATATATTCATCATGAATGTTGTAACATATTTCATGATGAATAACACATCCATATTCAGCATAAATATGTCATTCATGATTAATATTCATCTTGAAGAGAGACACGTGTTGCGCTATGCGTGGTTTTCAAGTTCCTAATCAATTTTGGGTTCCTAACTACTTATATATATAGGGGAGCGTTCAAATAAAAACCACCTAATTTGTACAAACCGTACAAACTTCATTCAACTAATCATAATTTTTCATTTTGTTCATTTTTTTGTAATTATGAGAGGTTGATTAATCATTTTTATTGTGGATGATTTTAATCATGGATATTATCATCTTCATTATTTTAATTTTAGAGAAATACATGAAACAGTTTCATTAATTTTAGAGAAATACATGAAACAGTTTCATTAAGTAGTATATGAAACAATTTCATAACCATATATGAAACAACTTCATCAAAAAAAGTATTATATGAAACAATTTCACAAGATTAAACAATTTCATGAAAAAGTTTCATAAGATTAAACAATGAAATCGACGAATGAGAGTAGTTTTTACGGTTTTTACAAATTGGAGTGGTTTTCATTTGATCGCTCCTCTCTCTCTCTCTCTATATATAGGGGCCTAATCAAATGAGAACTGATTAGTTTGTGGTAATTGTGAGGTCAAATCTCAACCACAAATCAACGGATAAATTAGGAAATTAATAATTATGGTAGCTTGAGTTAAAATTATAATTAGAGGGCATATTAGATATTTTTTTAAAAACTTATCTCTCCTCTCTCATCTCTCCGACCTCCAATCTCCGGCCACCTGTGAAATCAATATCACAGTATATCACAATGGGTATCACGTTGTGTATTATAATGGATATCACATTGTGTATCTTTGTTTTTAAGGTTTGAGTTGGAATCATAGTTGGTATCACAGTATATCACAATGTGATGGGTATCACATTGTGTATCTTTGTGATTATTTGGTACCTGCTGGATTAATGTTCAACGGAGGCCGGAGATTGGAAGTCGGAGAGAGGAGAGAGAAGTTTTTTTAAAAATACCTAAAAAGCCCTCTAATTATAATTATAACTCAAACTACCATAATTGTTAATTTCCTAATTTATCCGTTGATTTGTAGTTAAGATTGGATCTCATAATTACCACAAACTAATCAGTTCTCCCTTGAATGGACCTCTATATACATATATTTTGTCATGATTGATGTAACCATGACTTTTTGATAACGTTTTGAAAATATGAAGTTACAACGGTTAAAATTGTGAGCTTGTGACAATATGTTATTCATAAATGATTGGTATTAAATAAACCCCAATAATATGTCATAATCAAAGCCGGGAATTTTTGGGAGACAATTTTAATGAACCTTCATAAATTCGGGAATTTATTGATATTAACTTCACGGTTTTAAATACACTTCGAAACAAAAAACATCAGCTTAACACTTCCCTATTTTATAACAGCCCTAAACATGAGAACATATAAAATAGCCAACACTTTGACTAATTCTATGCTCATCTAAATTTAAGAATAAATTATAAATACAAGTAACGAGATTTACAAATTGTTGAAGACGCATACGTCATGCAATGGAATTCTTTTAAGAATGTTGAAGTAAGATAAAATATTGGATTTTGGACGGAAAGATCTACGTGATGGTTGGCTGCTAACGTCTCCATCATCAATTCGAAGAGAGGAAAAAACAAGCAGATGCATTAAACAATTTGGCCGGCCGAAATTTAACTTCGTAATACAAAATAACGTAATGGAACCTATCAAATTATAGATACATGCATGTGTCTGTATCAATATCTGTATATACGACTTCGTCCTGATCAATATTAAACAGTAAATTTATTTCAAATGTACTGTTTTTGTATTTTGAAAATCTCTTTTACGAAGAATAATGATATGAAATAGGTTTATTGTGCTAATTTGTTGGCATTATTCATATGTAAATCTCACTTGGCATAATAAATTCAAGAAGGGTATGAAAGTTAGAACTCGTATATATAATCAAATAAATTATATTTTATTTATAGAAAACAACAAATTATTGATTGCTAATATTCTGTATTATCATCATAAGTGATAAGATCAGGATAATGATATAAACAGTGTTTTCAAAACTCTAATAAGATAACCAACATATGTCACATCTGTTAGAATTTTATTAGAAACACAAACTAGAAGTCGTGTTCCAGCCGGCAAGGTGATATGGTGACAATGAAACATAGACAAAAGCTCGCCGAAGCATAAAAAAACAAGAGAATAGCTCAAGCTAGAGGTTGTGAGACTTTGACACGTTTGATTTAATAATATGTTGGATTTGGACATAAATGGACTTGTGAAATCAACAAAAACTGAAAAGGCCGACAAAGACTGTTCAAGACCAAGGAGGTTGACAGTAATTAACAACGACAACCTCCGGTGTATAGCACAGTCGTTTTCGGGGTTATGTACTTGCATAAACAGATGATTGTCGTATAGCGTGAGTTAATTCATTTGGGGTTTGGACTCATTGCGGGCACTGGCTCTAAAGCTAGCTGATGTAGTAGGAAACAAGGAGGGTTAACAAGTGTTTAACTCGAAGAAATAATAATGAACTAATGAAAAAGGTAAAAACAAAAACGAAAAATTGCTAAAAACATGAAAACACTGTTTTGAGGCCAGAAACGAGCATGAATGGCTGATAAATCATGACAAGGTAATGAGTTAATCCATTTTTTGTTTCGCTTCCAGAAACTTGTTATAATAGTCAACCAGACACATAACACCAAAAATGAATTAAACCGTACAATCTTCTTTTCTATCTATGCAACCAATCACCCCACATGACCAGCCGCCTAGCGGGACACTGTATACCTAATTTGTTTCTTACATAATATTTTTAGGACAAAACAGGTGGACCGACTTAAGAAATGCCGTCTACAAACCCTTTTGCTAAAACTAATGATGTCAAGATAAACAATGGTTGAAACTTATCCTATAAAACCAATAATCATCCGTGAATATATATTAAAATAAATACATACATACAATTTGTATATATATATATTCATCAAAATGATCACACCATATGTTTATAAACTTCATAAATCATAATTTTCATTTCCTTTTAAAGATTGTGATGCCTAAAAAAACAAGATTCAAAGATTGTGATGCCCAAAAAACAAGATTTTACCACAAGAATGGTGTCTGATTAGTTTGAGCTTGACTTCAAAGGTTAAAAGTACCAGAAGGTCTCAGGTTCAAATCCAATAAGAAATAAAAATCCCCTTGGGGCCATGGAAGTTCAAATGCGGTAACTCCGGGTTATCTGCAAAACAGATGATCGTTCTGAAATTAATCGACTCACATAACAGATTGGATATCCAGTTTTATTAAAAAAAAACAAAGATTCATTTCCCACCGCTACTCTTTGCATACCCCCCCCCCCCCCCCCCCTTCCCTTTTCCTCTTATACCATGAATCATAAAGCAGAAAAAGGCAACTCATTTCTGTAGAGACAAAACTATCATATCCAGAACAACATACAACTCTGAATGCATATATGCACAAGTCACTACTGCATGACTACTCTGGACTCAAAGATTCTTGATCTGACAAAAACAATATATATCTTAATAATATCCTCTTAACCCCAATTACTATAATTAAGAAATGATTTACATTAATTAAACAAAAGAACTGCAAATTTTCTCACTCCCTCAATCTCCAAGATCTGGTTTCTTGATTTCAGCAGTAATCCCCTTCTGCCTCTGAAGAGATTTTGATCATCTGATGATTGCTTGATTAGCAAATCACACAATTGGGGGTCTCATCATGAACAACTTTTGAGTAATATGGTGTTGGTGGATGATTGTACTGATAATATGGTTGCTGCTGCTGTTGATAATTGTAGTATGGATATGGTTGATGTTGATATAAGTGTTTCCAAGCTTCCTCTGCTTTCTTTTTCTCTTCTTCTTTCTTCTTCTCATCTGCTTTCTTTTTCTCATCTTCTTTCTTCTTATCACCACCACCACCGCCGCCGCCGGCTCCGCCGTCCTCCTTCTTCTTCTCCGGCTCCTTTGATGGGCCTACTGATACAATCTCTGTATGACAAATCTTTCTGAGTTTGGACACAACTGTAACTGGATCTACATCCCCTGTTACAGTCAGTTTCTTGTCTTTCATGTCCATGGCGATTGAATCCACACCTGTTTTTCACCAAATCATTACCAAAGTTAGAATCTTTATGGAGATTATAGATCTGGGTTTGCTTCAGATTAAACGATTTCTGATGAATCAAGAATGGAGGCCATTAGAGTTTTGCAGTACCTGGGAGACTGGAGACGTTTTTCATGGCCTTTTGTTTCACTCTCTCATCCAAGAAGTCCAATTTCAGCACAACTTTCTGCAATGAGTTAAGAGAAATACAACAAAATTAGAAGAAACCCAGATAAGATTGGCATAGAAAACATGTGAATTATGAGTTTTGATATCAAAAAAGGAAGAACAGAGTGAGATATAGATACAAGATATGTGTATGTATATATATATATATATATATATACCTTCATGTTGTTTTTTATGTGTTGGAAGTGAAGAGATCTGTGTGAGGATGAAAGAGAAGAAGATTATGGTTATGAAAGGGGTGGTGAGTAGCGTTATATAAAGAAGTGGCTGGCCTGGTGAAACCGAGTCAACCCAGGTCAAGTGAGTCCATGGGTCAACATTTTATAATATAAAAAAAACTCAAGTGAATTCCGGTACGGCGGAGCAAGGTAGCCGACGGTGTTGACGACGTAAATGGTGAGATGAAGCTTCCTAGAAGTAGAAGCAGCAACAATAATTGCACTAACTTGCTCCCTACTCACCTTTTGTCCACCGTGCATTTGTATACGGTGCCTGTGATTGCCTTCAGCCAATTTTTGGCCCACAAAATATTTGAAAAAGGATCCGTAAAATCGTGTACTAAATTTTCACGTCTGATTCTTATTTTAGAATGTACAAGTTGTATATTCGTGCGATACGGCGGGAACTGTGAACTTTAACAATTTGGAAGTTTTACTGGTTTTATTATAGAAGATTTAATGATGATATAAGTTATACTTGATCTTTACATATTAATACAATTTGAATAAATAAGAATTATGATTCCAATTACAGTCTACCAATGAAAAAAACTGTATGACGTATACAATCCAATATATTTAAAATCCAACATATTTAAACGACTCCACAAATGTGTCGATTTATACCAAGAGCGAGACCGAGAGTTCTAGAACAATTGAACGAAAGATGAATGGAAGAACTTTTAATAACTCATGATGAATATCAGTTTGAATCTCACCTTGGAGGATGAGAAGAACATATAGAGGTATGAGATGGTGAAGGCATAAGTCAAATGTGTCAAAAGTATCTTGGAAATATGAAAAGGAAAATGTAATAATGTGCATTGGTAACTTGTGCTATATGTTATTTTGATTGTAGATTAAGAGTTTATATCATAATCAAGCTAATTCATCATATATTATGAATGTAAAAAGTATATCTTAATGATGATATGCGTGTTAGAAAGAAATTTATATGTACAAACGTATTTATCAACATACGCGGGGGGGGGGGGCATTATTGTATTTAGCCCACCATTTTTTATCAGACGCATGTTACGTGAGAATGATAGTTATGGTGATAACAATGAGAAATGAGAAAAGATCAATCAGTAGGAGTTGTTTACCAAGTTTTCTATTAATTCTATATGAATAAATTTTCATGCCTGGATAAATTATTGGTGGTGTTGTTTATTTTTTTATCTGAATCAACAATCTGAGTGGCATAAATGATCGGTTTACCCCTAAATATGAATTATGCGTTGTTTGATAAATTGTTGATTATTACTCACCTTTCCAACAGCACCCACAAAGACATTGAAGGAAACTCGATTTCAATGGCACCTAAAACTCGATTTGGTTTTCATTTTCTGGCTAAAGCCAGACCCGTTCCCTACATTTTATGGGCTCTAGGCGAACATAAAAACATGACCCAAAAAGAAGCTTTTAGCAACACTTTTATCCTCGCTAAAAGTCCATTTATGATTTAAAATAGTATATAACATGTTGTCATTATAACTTGTCCCGGAAACATGTCATCGCTAAAATTCGTATCGTCAAAGTTCACTTTTCTTGTAGTGACCCTAAGTAAGTACGAAAATAAATTCAATAAATGTTTTTTATTAGTATAAAATTGAGTACAAGAAATGCTAATAATTTACTGAGGAAAGAAATCATATTTATCTTTTTATGGATATATAAGATAGTACTTAAATTTACGTATAGTACTTAAATTTACGTACTTCTTGTTAGGTAATTTGAAGTCAGAGTAGAAAAATTATGGTTGATAAATTTTTATAAAAAGTAAGAATCTTTTTAGTTCATAACAAGAAATATGTGTTATTTTGATATAAAAAAAGAATTCGTGAGAATTTAGTAATTGCGAGGGTCAATCAGAGATCAATAATAAAGAAGGTTATCAATGTTTTCTATACAAATAGACAAATGAGGATCAATAAGAATATGAAAGAAAAGATTATTCATTGAGAACCAATAAAAATAAATAATGAATTAAACATATAATATGCAAACTCAACAAATGATTGTTTGAGCACTTAAATAGAATCTTGTGTTGTGATATAATCCCAATGAAAGATACATAAATCAAACAATTAATAAAAATATTTAAATTCTATTTTTCTTCTTTTTTTGCTCAACTAAAATAAGATGTTAAGATTAAAAGTTTATGTAACATGATATATATAAGAGACGTTACTAAATACATTTGGTAGAAAAAAATAGTGATTAATCACAAAACCATGAAACACGTCACAAATTATAAGAACAATAGATTGATTGTCAAACAATAGTAAAATATTTTATGTAGAAACAAAAATAGATAATAATAGTAAAAAAATAATTAGAACAACATAACCAAATAGCAATAGTCAATAGAAGCATAAATTGATAAAAATATCCAACAAAAATATATAGCAATAGCAAGCACATGATCTTAACGTTGAATTGTTGAAGCACGAAAACAGTCAAGCATATAAAAATAGCAATAACCAATATCATTGGACCTTGTTAGAGATAAAAAAAAATTAGAGTGACAAAAAACAATAGCATACAATGAATAACCAATTAATTTTTTTTAATTTTATTCTCTAACGTAATTAGTTGATATATTTTTTGGCTCTTATTATCACCTAAATTCTTTTTGTCTCATATTATATGCTACAGTTTTTTTGGGTTTCTTTAATTTATTAAATTCTTTTAAACTACTAGGGAAAAATTTGGGCCTCTGATATTTTTGGGCCATGGGTGTGCGTCCGTGCGCCCTCCCCCAGGGACGGCCTTGTAAAGGTGTCAAGGAAGAGTTTTCTTAGGGTTCTTTTGTGTTCGTGTTGAGCATTTTTAGGAATGAAACTGTTGTTTTTTAGGGTTCTTTCTACTATTTTGATGATGATAATGTTTAAATCCAATTTGATGTTAATTGTTTCTCGATACCAATTTATAAACATATAATGTTAAATTCTATTTGTTAAAAAAAAACAATACATTTTCATCGGAACAAACAAATTTATGTATACTGACGTAGGTAAACAAAACTTATACATATGTTTGGGATTGCTTATTTGAAACAACTTATGTTTTTCTATAAAAGCACTTATCAACTTATTATAAGTTAGAAGAGTTTAACTTCTTCAAAAACTACTTATTACCAGGTTGACACCGGTATAAGTTGTTTATCTAAACACTCAAAAATGCTTATTATCGGTGTCACACCGAAATAAATCAATAAGTTGTTTTTGTAAGCAATCCCAAACACCCCTATAGAAAAAAGTTCAATTGCAAACTCCAGTTTCATTGTTAACGTGAAGATTGATCTCGGCTCTCCGTCTCTATTCAATCCAACGACTAACATTAATTAGAGTTTTTAATTAAAATTGCTAAGATGATCAGGGGTAAAAAAAGAAGTTAATTTTAATCGTATATCTACCTTATTTGACTTGTTAATTCATTTAAAAAAAATTTGCCCGCTTAAAGTTTAAAACAAAATTATCTTAATTACTATTATTTTAATCAAATAAATTACATTAAAAAAACGATAATTTCATGTTCTTCGATATCACTTTCTTCAATTACTAATATTTTCTTTGTTTTAACCATTTTACGTGAAATGCTATATATGTGTTATATTCATTATGAATATTTATGCATGTTCAAGTGTGTACAACAGCTCGATACTGTAAGTCCGTAACTCGATGTCACTTTCTTCAACGATGTACGACATCGTGTTCTTCATCACCGTAATCCAACACCCATCAAGACCGATTGAGAACTCATCGACACCGCGCGAAAACCTATCGAGAGAGATCGAAAACCCATCGAGATCGATCGAAAACCTATCGAGAGAGGTCGAGAATCCATTCCTTGACGTTGTATGTGTTTGTGTTTGTTAAACCATAATCTGCCACCTTTTGAAATTGAAATTTTCATATCTATAATATACCATTAATCGTTCTCGTTCTTAGTGAACTAGGGACGAAAAGCCCAAAACAAATCGGGATTTATTGGACCATACTAGATTAAACCAAATAAAGTCTGAAATAATCCAGCTCAGATAAATACCAATTCATATGTTTTGTTCTGTTAAACCCCCCCTTTTAACAGATCAAACCAAACAAACTTTTCCCAAACCGATTCATGTGCAACTTTAAGACCTACTCAACTAACAAGAAGTGTTCTATATTTGTTTTACACGGTAGTATGCTTTGATAAGGAGTGTTCTATCTTTGTATACGTGGTGTGCTTTTATTGCTTATTCTAGTTGAAACTTTTTGTTATTCGACCAATATAATTACCGTTTTTCAGTAAAAAGGTATATCGAAAACATTATGCTTCATTTGTCAACAACATTTGTACCCATCTTTCATCAAAACATTTACGTAGACCCACCAACGTATGAAAGCGGGATCTTTTGAGAAATGTATCATTAAAATTTAAAAGCAAAATTTATCTTAGAATACTTGGTTATTCGTATTAACACTCTTTTGTTGGTTGTATATTGTACTTTTAAAAAATACAAAAGCAGGGCCGTAATCAAATGAGAATAGTAAAAATGTTGAGAACTGTGAGAACTAATCTCAATCGTCCAAGGGTTTTAATCAATGGTTACTAAAAAGGGTGGCATATTTTGTAATATTAGTGAAAGGCATTCCTTCATCTCCATCAACATGTGCACCGCTAACATACCAACGACATCCCTTCTGAATCAAATCTCCGAAAGAAACCCAATACGCTACTGGCATTCCTTTGGTTGGTTATTTAAAGCTCGGAACGCTGACGATATCTTCAATGGCGGCTTATGATGACGACCACTAAAAACAACGTCGTTACCTCCACTGCCTTCTCGAAGGTGTTGAAATATTAACTAGAGTTAGATAGATGAAACCAACAAAGTTTTAATCTTTATAAACTAGTTTAAATATTTAATCCAAAAAGTAAAAAAAAATGTGAACGAAGATGGTAACTTTTGTGTTCAGAATCCACGACACCTCAAAACGTGCAATTTCTCACGGATTAAATCTATCATCCACGATAGATTCAATGAAAGAAAGAAGTGAAATTAAATACAATGCACGAAATTTGAAACCAACCTACTTAATCTGTCGATGAATCGTAATCTGCATGGTAAAACCTGTCCTCGCGCCACTTTCGCGAATCCCGCGCCCGCGTGTGTGTTGGGCCTTCCACTCAAGACCCTCACCATGAGTATACTTATTTGTTCA